GAAATAGAAGCAGAAATGCCAGAAAACCTGTATTTCCTCCTCTGTCCCTTGCTGACACTTGTGCGGTAAAGAATGCTTGGGGCAGCACCCGATAAGGACTCATGGCTCATTTGGCCTGAGCTCTGTGAAAAGCAGCATTTTGTGTTTGGGTCATCTGTGTATGGCGATGGCAAGAGCTTTTCTTGCGGGTTATGGAGGCGAATACCTCCTCGCTGCCGGAACGGGGGTTTCCCAAGGTGGTTTTGCTTGGAGCTGCTGGTCGGAGCAGCCACCGCAAATGATAGCACAGGGACCGTGTGTGTTCCCAAGGAGAGGTACTTGGCTGCCTGGGCTGCGTCCGTCTTGTATCGCAGCTTGCATAACAGGAAAGGGAGTTAGAGAGCCTGTATGCAAGGGTATGTCTCATTTTATTTTAGATACCATTATTAATTGAGGCCTGGGATACATCAGGTAATTATTGTTTTCACTGTTGGATTACCTTGCTATGTATTTCGTTTGACTCATACCATTATGAAAGTCAACCCAATGGATGTTTTGGCCTTCTTGATATGGTGTGAAGTTCTTAACTGCACGGCTGCGTGGAGGGGCCCAAATCTTTGTGTAGCTGGTGGTTGTATACACCCATCCGATGCTTTCAGATCGATCATCCTTTTATGCATGGCAAACTTGCCCAATGCCCTTCACACCTCATCTTGGGGAGGAGTTTTGGGGTTTTTTGAGACGCCATGGCTTAACTTTATTTCCAGGTAATACCATCATCATCATCTCTTTGATAATAGCCAAATACAAACCCAATAGTGAGAAAACCTTATTACCGCTAACATAAAACTGTAGGCTTTGGAGAGAGACAGAACTATAAGAAATTTGTTTATCAGAGAAGCTTATTTGAATTGCTGTGAGCTTTGGTACATACTCGGAGAGCTAGAGGAGTCTCACTTTTTGGCCTGAAGATATCGAAGTATGTTAGTTTGGGTTTCTGCAATAAAAAAAATCCAAAGGTTTTTTGTAGTAAACCACTACCCTACTAAAATGGGCTTCTAAAAAAGGCTGAAGGAAAAAATAAATGGTGATAGTGGGTGTTTTACAGCACAGTCCACAGCCATAGGCTGTGGCCCTGTGAAGTCAGGAAGTCTTTGTCTTATTTATATTCTCCTCCTTTGTTGGTCTTGTATGTTGTTTTTATGGGCAACGGTGTATATTTAAAACTTTGAAGGGTGTGTGTGAGAAAGTAGCATCATTTTAAATCAAATATCTGTAACAGGCCATAAAATACCCAGATGACCACTCGTACGATGTTGAGGTTTTTAATGGAGCTAAAACCAGTAAAT